GGCTGGGGAATTCTGGGAGTTGAAGTCCACTCATCTTAAAGTGGCCAAGTTTGGACAACACTGCTCTAAAAGAATCTTCCTCAACATAACACCCTTCATATTTGTCAGGATCTTCAGCTATGCTGTCTGGGGATTCTGACAGGCAGCAGCACACTGGGGCTTTGCATAAATGTGTTTCAGTTATTTGATGTTTAAGTTTTGAAGGCAGCTTCCTAGGTTCGTTTGCATGATTTTTAACTATTTCTTATGTGTACCTCTCTAAACATGCTTGTTCCATGGTCTGTGTGTCATCTTTACAAAAAAAACTTGGTGAAGCAGATGGTTTCTGTTCTGTGAATCGAAAACTGAGGTCAAGAGATTTTGTAAAGGCTATTCCAGTTAACAACATATAGCCATTGAATCAAAGTTCAGTGCTGACTACAGATCTTTTGTCTCCAGCTTTCTGTTAAATTTGGATAGGAATAGTATGTCCATTTGAGCTTTATCTATCCTAATGATCTTAAATCCATCTACATATGTTCTGTTGTGGCCTCTCCACATTAAATTTCTTGGAAATATAGTTCATTGAAGGGATTAGGGATTTGAAGTTACAATTGTCAGGTTTCTCCAGGCACTTAAAATAAACAGACAGGGTTGCAGAGCTTGAAGGACTGAATTCCCACTAAATGGGCCTGCCAATTAAGGTAGTCTGCAAAGGCCTTCTTATTAACCCTGCCTTCTAAGAGAGAGGCAAGTGGCTGTCATAGAAAAGATATGCTCTGTAGTAATGCCCGAACTACAGAGTTTTCTCTGTAGACAAATTTATATGCCTTCATGTATTTATTATTTCACTTTATATGGCTGCCCACTCAGGATGCAGCTTTAGGTGGCTAACAGAGAGTTTAAAATATCCAAAAATAAATAGAAATCCATAAAAACACATCGCACCAGAGGCAACTCACTTGTACAGGCTTATTTGCTTGCCTGACTCAGAGCCTGCAGAGAAAACCAGGTCTTCAGTGCCTTTTTGAGGGCCAGCAGAATCAGGGCCCTCTGAATCTGAGGGGAAATGCTGTTCCATGGGGCAGTCGCAGTGACACAGAGGTCTCCTGGGTTCCATCGGATGCTGCTGCTTGGGACCCGAAGCATGCCAATCATGGTTTTGCTGGATGGGCAGAGATAATTAGAGACAGATGGTCCCACGAATATCCTGGCCCTGGGCCATGAAGGGCTTTATAGGTGACCGCCAGAACCTTGAATTGCACTTGGAAGCCAAATGATCACGAGTGCAGCAGTGTTACACGGGTGTACTAGTCTTGCTGCTGCATTCTGGACCAGCTGTAGCTCCCAAATGGTCTTCAAGGGCAGCAGGAAGTGTGAAGTCTGTTGTCATCTTTTTGAGTTTTTAATAATCAAAATCGTTTTCTTTGTCCACTGCTTTTATTGTTATTTTTTGTGGTTTTATCGCATTTTGTTGCTTCTGTACAAATAGTCTGTCAAATCCTACACGCACACCCCCCCACACACATGTACACTTGCCCAGTTTCAAAGAATACCTAAAAGTAGTGAGGAAATGCACAGTGTATTCATACTTTTGTATTGAGAGAGGTTATATCTCAGTATAAAATAAAATTGGAGTGCTTTTTTGTTTTTTGTTTTGTTTTTGTTTTTCACTTCTATAGTTGGATTTGATCACAGATCTTTTGGGGACACCGTCACTGGAAGCAATGAGGACAGCTTGTGAAGGCGCCAAGGCTCACATACTCAGGGGTCCTCATAAACAGGTAGAGTGACGACTTTCTGACTTGGAGAATTTGGTAATGCCACAGTCTTTCAGTTCTATAATTGCAACTTTTGATTTTCAGACTAAGAGCAATACGGGATGGAGATCGACACTGGGAGCAATCCCAAAGCAATTTATCTAAGCAATGCCGAATTGATGCTTACATGTAATGCTCTCTGTTCTTTGTGGAACTTTTTTTGTTCAGTTTTGTTGCAGAGAGTAGGTAGGGCTGTTTGGCCTGAGGAGAGTGTAACTGGCTAATGTGCACTACTATAGGTAGTACTAGAGAGTCAAGCTAAGGAAAAGATTCAAAGATTTTTTGCATTCATGGGGATTAATTACAACCTATGAACCAATTACCCTGAGGCTAAATTAGACTTAAATGACCCACTTAACTTAGTTGGAAAAGGTGCTACTGGGGACCTGATTTTAGTCATAACCTCAATTTCCTTTACCATCTCTGTTTGGGTATTTCAGACAAAAGTATGAAATCCAGTATAATGCTTGGAGGCTATAAAATAGACTTGTAATATCTACTTCAGGATGTTATCCATTTTGTTTGAGGAGCCATTGTTCTGATAGAACTGCCTTTTGACCAGGAAGTTCTGATGTGTAATAAGTAAAAATATTTGCAGCACAAAAATAGCCCTACTTTCATTATCCAAACATCATTTCACAAAGTGATGAAAGCTGTATATATACCAATCATTTAAAAAAACATAAGAAATAAAGATATTTTTGTGCGTGTTAGAAGAGCTCCATAAACTCCTGCTGCAGCCTGAAGTTGTGTTTAGTGTTGTATGCGTGTAGCAGGGCCACCCATAATACAGCTGCAGAATTATACTAATGATAATTGATGAGCATTTGTAAACAAAAGAAATGGAAAGCCTCTTTGTAAATGCAAGCTCAAGGTTTTCTCAGGTACTATAATAGAACGGAGTACTTGTAGATGTAAATACAGTTGAGGGGCAAGAAATGAGAGCTGGAAAAAAAGTCTTTTTTTTTTCTTCCAAAATTCCATGGTGTTTCAGAGTTGTTCTAAGGTCGTGTTATAATTATCTTGTATAAACAGGTCAGATTTGCAGTTCCTGGAAACGTAGCCTTAAATCACTGCATGTACAGTGTCCCAGGTTCAGCTGCTGGATTTTCCAGTTAAAAAGTACTGCTAATAAAGAATTACTCTCAGTCACAATCAACAGTCTTGGTCTAACACAGCTTCGTATGAAACAGAGCTGGTGTAGAACAATTCGAGTATTTGTGTAACCCAATGGCACCCTACTAGCATCCTTCCAGAATATTCATTCTCACTAAGAAACAAGCCACGGTGTCCTTATTTACATGGAAAACATCCCATGAAACCTATCATAAATCCTTGCTGGGTTCTGTAAAGCTAACTGTAGCATCTAACCGTTTCTGTTAATATTGTTACATAAATAGATGAGGCAAAAGCTTGATTGCTTAGTTTTATTTCAAGCTGAATATGTGTTAGTTCTTGGTTAGGTATAACATATTCCTCCCACATACCAATAACAATTAATCATCTGCCAGTAATAGGAAGAAAAATTATGTAATCATTTCTTTCTTGCTCCTAATGGTTTTTCCCAACTCGTGCACATGTTAGGTCTGTAATGCTTTCCTTTTTTAAATTTGCATAGGAAAGCAGGGTTTTTTAGAAGCACCATGCTAAGGAAATAATAGTGTAGGAAGTGATGGAGAACAAACAGCTTCTAAGCTCAAAATCTTTTAATGTGCCTTCTTTTTTCTAACAAAAAAAGTAGACAGCCTTTACATTTGCATAAAGAGGTCAGGTCTATTTTTAGTTATGAAAATTACTTTTTAATTTTGGAGCTCATTTTTTTCTCTCCTCATTCTAATGCAAAGTTCATCAAGCCCATTAAGTCTCTCTATATGCTTACTTAGAAACAACTCCTGTTGAAGTCAATGAGGGTCATAGGATCAAACAGCTAGAAGATGGGAGTGGGCCCCTGTCCGTGATGCTTCCCCAACCACTGTCTTCAGCCCAAATTCCTCTATGTTAGGAATTCTAGAAATTGCTAGTCTCAATGTATCTGAGGAGTACCAGATTGAGAAAGGTTGCAGTAAGCCATATTGCCATATTTTCCCCCAAGGAAGATGAAGGTGACTTGGGAGGGTGGTTGTCTTAAATTTACTAAAATATGGTAATAAAGAAAGAAGCTATTGGACAAATGAAAAGGCAAAGGGTGAAAAGTGCCTGAAAGGGATGCAGGAAAGGAGGCAGGCTGCTGTACTTCATTTCAAGAGGCCAAGCAAGCTATCTCTGTTTTCCTCTTGCCATTTTTCATCTATAGAGGCAAATATTTGCAATACTTCTTCTGTTCATGGAAGCTCTCCAAACCAGGTTTTTTCACAATGTAGGGTTCTGCTAGAACTTGATAGGGTTTCATGAGAGACTAAGATTTTAAAAAATACACTTAAACACAGTCTGGGACATGCATAGCATTTATTGAAGGTAAAGAAGGGAGGGTAGAGCTTGTTAGTTGACATTCGAAAGCACCACCCACCCAGGGGGCATTTGTGCTCATGACAACTCATCACTCTATGTCCCTATGAGAAGCAGGCAGCAGAGTTCCAGGAATTTTTTTTAACTTTTTGCAGCCTGAAAAAAAAATTGAAAAACTCTGCTCTAAACAAATGAAGATTCTGGAAAATCATGATCCTATGGAGAATCTCCTTCTAGGCTGCAGGTAGCACCCCTAGAAGGATCCAGCCCATTTTGACCACCATTGCCCAATCTCCAACCTTTCCTTTGTGTGAAGAAACACTACCCTAGAAGAAGCAGGCTATCTGGATCCTTTTCAGTCAGATTCATACCTAGGCATGGGGCAGAGTCAGCATTAGTAAATGACCTTTGTTGGGACTTAGATAGGGTAGTGTACCCTTCTAGTTCTCTTGGACTACTCACAACATTTAATATATCAACCGGGGTATCCTTCATGAGTGCCTACAAGCATAGGGAGCACTATTCTTTTTTTTTTTTAATAATGATTTTTATTGAAGTTTAAAAATATAAAGATAAAAAACTAATACAAACTAAGAAAAATAGAAAAATTGCAGAGAGAAGAAAAAATGGGGGGAGGAAAGGGAAAATATATATATAAAGAAAAAAGAAAAAAAGATATATAAAAAATGACTTCCCCCTTCATCAAGACAAGTACAAGCAATTTCAGTAATTTAACACCTTATCTAACGTTTCAACCAAAAATCTCTTCATCCCATATCTCATCTTTTATCTATTATAATAAAGCCTCATTATTCTATCTTAAT